CCGTCACACCTGGTGACTCCAGTAAGCGGTGCAGCAGGTCTAAGGCAGGCTCCCTGCCTACCCTGACTCTGCGTGTCTCCCAGAAGTGGTTGGCATGTCCCTGCAGCCCCTAGGCACAGGAGCAATCAGGGAAGCTCCACATTCTGCCCCGTCCCCAACCCCGGCTCCGCAGCTCCCATTGGCCGGGAACTGCAGCCAATGGGAGCTGCAGGGGTGGCGCCTGTGGGCACGGGCAGCGTGCACCACGCAGAGCTGCCTGGCCATGCCTCCGCCTAGCATCCAGACATGCTGGCCACTTTCAGGGCGGGCAGGCGGGCAGACAGGGAGCCTGCTTTAGCCCCGCTGTGCCACCGACTGGGAGCCGCCTGAGGTAAGCGCCGTCTGGATGGAGCAATCCCCATCCTGCACCCCAACTGCTACACCTGGTCCTTCCCGCATCCAAACTCGCTCCCAGACTCCATACCCCCACCTGCACCCCAACCCCCTGCCCCAGGTTGGAACCTCCTCCCCCACCCAAACTCCCTCCCACTAACCCGCACCCCACACCTCCTCCTGCACCCCAACCGCCTACCCCAGCCCTGAGCCCCTTCCCATACCCTGCCTCAGCCCAGTGAAAGTGAGTGAGGGTGGGGGAGAGCAAGCGATGGGGGGGAGGAGAGGGCTGGAGTGAGTGGGGGCAGGGCCTCAGAGAAGGGGTGGAGCAGGTGTGGGGCCTTGGGGAAGGGGCAGGGGCAAGGGTGTTCTGTTTTGTGCAATTAGAAAGTTGGCAACCCTAGGGGGCCGTGCGTGGGCGTGCTGGGGGTGACACTGGTGCTGATTAGTGGTGCCTCGCTGGCAGCTCAGTGAGAGCATCACCCGGGGGCCTCATCAGTTCGGAGGTTTTCCTGCCCATCTCCCACTGCTGACACCGTGCCACTGAGAGCAGCCGCACTGGAGTGCTCAGGCTGCCTACGGAGGCTGGTGTTTTTACTGGGTGGCCCAGCTACTCTCAGAGCAGGATTAGCCAGTGCAGGAGCACAGGCACCGGAGCCCCGTCTGCTCTAGTGCTTCCACTCTTGCTAGCGCCAATGGGGAATCTTCAGAGAGCTCCCTGCAGAGCCAGCCCACGGGGCAAGTCTCCATTTAACCCTCGGCCTCTCTGCTGAGAGATCAGAAAGAGCACTGGGTCAGGGGGCATTAGGGAGACCCCGACTGAGACAGGAGCCCATTTCTCTGTCCCCAAAGAGACGGGAAGGGCCGTAGGATTGAGCTGGTCATCACTGGGGTGGGCCAGCTTTGAACCCCAACCTAGAAAAAATTGTACCATATTCCTAGCATGTGTTTCTCTGGCTTCAGCTCCCAGCCATTGGGCAGGTTCTGCCTTTGTCCACTATTTCCAAGACCCTAGCTATCGGATCTGTCCTTCCCACGCAGGCTCCCATCTCTGAGGATCAACCTTCTCTGGGATCAATTAAACAGCTGGAGCTTCCTAAGTCAGTCAGCAAAGGGCCCTGACTGGCTCTCGGCTTCCCAGCCTGCCAAGGTCCTGGGGGAAGTGCACACTAGAACTGGACAGTCCCCAGCAAGGGTCATGTCCTGGGGCCTTTGTCTCCCCCTGGCAATGACTCAATATGAGGTGGAACCAGGCAAAGCAGGGGATGGATGGTGGCTACCAACTCATTTCACTCCAGCCCAGAGGCCTAGCATTCTTCCCCCTCCTGCCCCACTTCTCCAGCCCCTCATCCCTCGTGGGCCCCCCAGGCGGGGGCAGGTCGGAAGGGCCCTTACGATGAGGGGCTCTCGGTTGATGTCGTGCAAGTCCAGCGAGAGGATGTAGTCCTTGCTGCCCACGTACATGCGGTCATGGTCCTCGTCCTTCAGCAGGATGCGGTAGTCCGTGGAGTTGAGCAGGAAGTTGAAGAAGTGAGCAGTGCTGGTGGCCTTCAGCTCTGTGGGCAAACAGAGATGGGGGGGGTCAGGCTCCTCCCGGCGGGGCTCTGAATGCAGTGGCATCCAAGAGAGCAATGACCCCTCACCTCGGAATTAGTCAGCCCGCAAGACAGGGCTGTGATGGCCACCACAGCCTCAACAGCTGCAAGGTTCAAACTCCCACAGCTTTGGGGTGCAATAGAACTGCCAGGCTCTGAGCGCCCGACCCACACGACCAGGTCCCATCCCAGCCTCTATGCGCCCAACCCACACGCCAGGGCCCCCCAGCCTTTGAGTGCCCAACCCACATGCCTGGGCCCCCAGCCTCTAAGCCCCCGAACCACAGGCCAGGACCCTCCAGCATTCCCTCCTCACTCCTGGACTGATCTTCCACCGATCAACCCATGGGCATAAAGCAGCCCTTCTATTCAAGCCCGGGCACCCTTAGGCCAGGCAAGGAGAGGGCTGGCAGGGGATTACAATGACCCAGGCCTGGGTATCATTGGGCTGGGCAGGGATGGGGCTGGCAGGGAATTACAATGACCCAGGCCAGGGTACCCCTGGGCCGGGCAGGGCCGGGGCTGGCAGGGGATTACAATGACCCAGGCTCAGGTATCATTGGGCTGGGCAGGGATGGGGCTGGCAGGGGATTACAATGACCCAGGCCAGGGTACCCCTGGGCCAGGCAGGGCCGGGGCTGGCAGGGGATTACAATGACCCAGGCTCGGGTACCCCTGGCCGGGCAGGGACGGTGCTGGCAGGGGATTACAATGACCCAGGCTCAGGTATCATTGGGCTGGGCAGGGATGGGGCTGGCAGGGAATTACAATGACCCAGGCACAGGTATCATTGGGCTGGGCAGGGATGGGGCTGGCAGGGAAT